CTTGTTTGAAGTTGCTAACATAATTGCAAATACTTGTTTGGACCTATCCTCAAAAACAGAAAAAGCATAGATTTTTAAATGAACTTAATTTAAATTAATAACTTTAAAAAATATTTTAAGATTTATTTCATGTAGTATTTTTTCCCAAATTAGAAAAAAACACGTTGAACTATTTAGAAAGAATGAGCGTGTCAATGCGTGGCATACTGTAGAACACTTGCCTGCTAGGATTTTCTATCAGATCCGCAAAAATTCATGTGTGGTTGTGTCTATTGTTTTAGCAGTCTCTTTCTCTTCAGATAAAGTGATATACAGAAGAAGTTCAAAATTTTAAATGAATTTTCTATAGGATTGGGGAAATAGATAGACGTGGGTCATATCTACTAGAAATACTATTTAAATTTTTTGTTAGGATGATTTGGTGTCAGATTTATTTATAGTGAAAGCTCCATGCTTTCACTAGAAGTGAAATAGATGTATAATGGCTTACTGCTCCATAGGAACACTATGCCCAGTTCATCCAGGATTTAGCTATTGATGGTTTTTGTTAGACAAGTGTTAGAGCAAAGGAATAATTTGAGTTTACAGTAGTGTAGTAGGTCTAGCTGGGATGGGGTTAATTTTCTTCACAGTAGCACAAATGGTGCTGTGTTTTTGAACTGTGACTAGAACAATGTTAACACACCAGTGTTTGGCTACTGCTGAGCAGTGCTTGCAGACTCCATGATTTCTTTGTCCTACTCCATTCTCCTAGTGAGTAGCCTGGAGATGGGCAAGAAGTTAGGAGGGGACACAGATGGGACAGCTTAACCAAACTGACCAAAGGGATGTTCTATATTGTATGAAATTTGTTGCTCATGCTGTAAAGGGACGTATGATATCACCTGTTGTTGCAATAAAAGAAAGGCTGAGAAAGTTGAGACCATTCAGACTGGAGAACAGAAGGTTCTGGGTAGGCATTTTTGCAGCCTTGCAATATATAAAGGGGGCTTATAAGAAAGATGGAGAGAGATTTCACCAAGGGCTATAGTGACAGGACAGGGGCAATAGTTTTAAAATGGAAGAGGGTAGATTTAGATTGGCTAGAAGGAAGAAATTTTTTACAGTGAGGGTGGTGAGACACTGGAACAGGCTTCCCAGAGAAGTTGTGCGTGCCCCACCATTGGAAGAGTTCAAGGTCAGGTTGGATGGGGCTTTGAACAACCTGATCTAGTGAAAGATGTCCCTGACCACAGCAGGGAGATTGGACTAGATTATCTTTAGAGGTCTCTTCCAACCCAAATCATTCTATGATTCTACGACATCATGCTCAGCAATAAAAGCTTGGGGAAAGGACAAAGAAGGAGGGTTTGTGGTTATGCTGTTTTTCACCCCAAATAACCATGAGGCATGCTGCCTTCCAGGAAGCAGCTAAACATCTGCCTGACGATAAGGAGTAGTGAATAAATTCCATATTCTGCTTTGCTTGTATGTGCAGCTCTGCTTCACTTGTCAAAGTGTCCTTGTCTCAACCCATGAGTTTTGATGCTCTTTCTCTTCTGATACTTTCCCCCATCCCACTGTGGAGGCAGTTAGCTAGTGACTGGGTGCGTGCTTAATTGCTGGCCAGGGTCAACACACCACAGGTAGCAAAGTATGTTGTTAAGTAATGGGATTACAAAATTGGTAACAGAGTTATAGATAGGTAGTGCCTTCAAAAAGAATAACTTGTTAGGGTACAGTTGCTCAATATAAAAATAATTCAAGTTGACTCTTTGTCACCCTGAACACCATTAGTACTTTTATAGATTAACTATGAGGATCTTTTTTTTTCCAGTTCTGTTCATTTCTTATCTCACGGGGGTGAAACAGAGTGGGTATTATAAGACAGCTGTTGGATTTTTGTCCACCTCACAAATTCCAGCTAGGGACAGGTAGGAGAATCTGTTAGATTATTTTTACTTTCTGTCTTCCTGGACTAAGATACTGATTACATAAAGACATTTTTAGCTCCAGTCCCTGATAGGAGACAGTAAATAAAGATGCTGAACCAGGTCCTTTACACTTTGATGTTTAGCCTGGTTTACCATCTTATTTTACCAGTTTTAGGGCAATGGTATATTATTTGTTGGCGTGGGACAAGCTGTTAACCCATGATTTGAAAAAAAAATTACATACACTGATATGCATGGATAGCAAAAAATTGATGTTTTCTATTAGAGATGGCTCTCAAGAGATAAGGAAAAAGACTTTTATAGGTGATGAAGTGTGATAATATGAAAGGCTGCAAGATAGTTGCTTAAGAAACAAGAACAACAAAGGAATAAACTACTGCAGGCATCACCAGAGCTGGAATGACATTGTACTGTGTACTATGTTTCCATGGCAACTAGCCATAAGGAGATGAATGTCTCATATTCAATGTGCTCTGCAGTACATGTCTATAAATCAAAATTGCATAAAAGAGCATAAGATTTCTTCCATGGGGTGACTCTGAAAAACAGGTTATTTTCTCATTACTAGATAATTACATGAAAGAAATACGAGACAATTAGGTCATTCTTTGTATGGAAAGTACCAATACATACAAAAGTACTAATATACCTCTAGTGTGTGATCCTATCAATCTGAAGGCACAGCAGCATAAAATGCAGATCATGAATGCCTTTTCTTTCTGAAGATCTGATTTATGCTTGCTAGCTTTAAAAACTATATGAGACTTTTCTGTCCACTTTTGGTTTGTAAGTAATTTTTCATCATTTATAGGTTCACACACATTCATGTGGGATTGGTTTTCAGCTTACTTCTGTCACTATTTCCATTATCATGGTCTAAGGATTTAGCATACAAATAACCTATTTTTTCTAAACAAATGGTACAGCTAAGACAAATATTTTCTCAGCAGCGGTAATTAATAATATTGTATAATTTGAATATGACATTCATATTCACAACGAAAAAGGAAAACAGTACCTGAAATATTTTTTTAAGAATTTGAATCCCACTTTAAAAGACATGTTCACTTACAGACAGGCATTCATCACAAATTATTATTGCAAAGACCTTATCACATTTCATATCTGTGTAGCTACATGCAGAACAGCAGCATTATTATAAAGAAATTCTTGTGTGTGCTACCCATCACAAAGAGCCCTGTGGTGAAAGAACATATCATCACACCATTTACCTTAGCAGGCACTTCTGCAACTCCTGTGACAAGAATGTTGCATTTTTACAGTATGATGGCATTTTAATTAGGTGTGCACCAGGTGTATCATAAGCATGTAAGCATTTTGTTCAATATAGCTGCAATATTAGCTCAGAAACAATAAATATTACACTACTGTTCAGGCAAGATTATGGTCAGTTAATACAATCAAATATAATCTGAACTTTAACCCACCTATAAACTCACATTTTGCAAACTTTAGCAACAGCTAAGTGCAGTATATTACTGACATTTGTAAGAAAACAATCCCTTGGGAGAAAGAATGTCCACATTAAATATTATTTTATCAGTAGAAAATGAAGATAATTTTATGTTTGGTCTTATTCCCATGGATTAAAAAAAAAAAAATAGAACCACCACCACCACCACCCCCTCAAACAGCAAACCACCCACTTACTATACCTAGAAACACTGCTGAATGCCGTATCTTTTCTCTTTCATAAAACAGAGCATTTAACAACACCACTCCATCCTGAAGCTCCATTACCAATTCAAATTATTTCACATCTTTACACATTTATAAAAGAATATACAATGTTAAAGTAAAGCAGAGATATTAACTGTATGTTTCATATCCCTGTATTCCAGTATTACTGTGCAGCCGTTGCTAATAACAGGCCACAAACTGTGTACTGAATTCGCAAGATCCGAGGACTGAGGCTTGTCAGACTTCATCTGAATTTGCTTCACCTGCCTGGAGATTTTACTTGGTTTATATGTATCAGCAGTTCATTTAAGGACCAGGTGGCTACATCTTATTTGTTGTTCTTACCTTTGAACAGTATAAACTTTGAATTTTAAAAAGATAATACCTCAAGCTATTCTACTCACATTTTCCTGTTCATTTGTTGGCAATATGCCGAAAAGTGATAGTAAAATCACTTGGGCCTTAAGAAAAATATACCACATAACTTTTCAAACCTTCTTAAATTAATTACTCTCCCCAAAATATATTACATCTTTACTGCAAAAACACAAGTGTATCATCTAGGACATCAGTCACTCTACACTTTGGTTTTGTTATTGCATGCCAGTGGCTTCAAAGATGTACAGACCAATTCCTGTTCTGCTATAAGCCTTGTACCATGACTCCAGATAACTGCAAAAAAGAAAAACAACCCAAAATCCAACACCACTTTTTAAAGATGGTGCTCAGCAAGCTATCTGATGCTGTGTCTTCAAAAGTGAAGGACTTCTCTCAGTGACTGAGTTACCTCCGATCAAATCATTCACATCAGAAAAAGAAAGTTTTACCCTTTGCAGTGCAATGCTTTCAGAAACATTTTAAAAATAATGTTTACTGGCAACTGTAGAGGTAAGATCAATTTTTATGATCTGAGAATTACTCTCAAAATTTTATCCTTTCACTTCCGAGCCAATCTCACCTTGCAAGAAATTTCACTGCTACTGCCTTGCAATATGCACTACAGTTTAACTGAATTTTTCAAGAGACAGCTCTTGAATGCAGATTTCCTGATTACAGGAGGAAAATATAAAAGTAAATAATTTTAGGCTTCTTAAGAAACAGTCCAGGCAACAAATTACTTTATGCATCTGACAATACTAATTATTTTAATAATAGCTATTTTTATTATTTCTATTGCCACAATTTATATTAAATGTATTAATTGTATTATTTATATTTAGAATATTTATCATTAAAGGCACTGAAACAATAATGTGCTGAAGCTTATATCTTCAGCTCCATGATAGAATGTAATAATTTCAATTAACTGAAATATACACAACAAAAAGCCTTCTATCCAGGAATAATGATCTCTGTTAATCTTACCTGAAACTTCAACCGTGATTTTTTCAGCTACCTTAGGAGAAACAGGATTGAAGGCTCTCTTGAAGTCTTCAAAAGTCAAAAATCCTCTACCTTTTAAATAAAGATTAGGCAAGAGAAGAATAATATAAATTAAGGGGGGGTTTTATCTACTTTATACAATTATGTTTGCATGTGAGCTAATCAATTCACAGTTCTGAAATGATTATACACTTTTAAAGTTACTGTATTCACAAATTATTTTAGGATGGCTACATTACATTAATGAACAGCCTAAGAAAGATTTTATACTGACAATTCCTTTTTGCCACAGTGAAGCCTGTTCAAAAGTACTGTGCCTACAACATCTACAACTTTTACTTAAGTTTTAATTTTAAAAGTAGACATTTTGAAATTAAAATTTCAGATTTGTAAAACTTTGAAAATATACTCTAAAATATGCAAAATTACATTTCAAATGTATCGCTTCCATTTACATCTTAGATACTCTGAGCATTGTGTTTCAAAAATTTTCTTTCATAAAAAATTTATCCTTCTGTTTAATTCTGCTGCAGACTTAATATCCTGAATATATTATATCAGAGTAAGATCATCTGATCAATCACTTAGGTTATGAATTGATTTCCAGAACCAACTGAAAAATAAAGCATCTCAAACAGGGCTATTGCAGATTGTGTGCAACAGATAGCAAGACAAACAAAAGCACAGTGCTTGAAACAGTTAAGTCCTTTGAAATAACTCACTAAAAACAATACTTCAAATGCTAGTTTTAGTTCATGGAAAAAAGCTGAGTGATGCTTATCTGATCATCCCAACATCTGATCTGCCATTTGTTTCACTTTCCCTCTTTTCAAGGACCATAGGCCTATCCCAGGTCAAGAAGAAAAAGGCAAAGGATAATCTGAATGTCCATCAATTCAGAGGCTCCTGATGAAGTTTTCCTTTTTTGAGTTTGGTGATGGAAGATCCTCTGCTGTCTAGCAGGTACATAAAAGAATCACCACACCTACTTCCCAACAAGAAGGACAAAAATTCCTTGTTGCTTTGGCTTCTGTTTCCTGGCCTATCATGACAAGTAAAAAAGACCTATAGCCACCACCAGGGACAGAAATCCACAAAATATGTGGCATAAATAAGTAAGTGGAGATACATGAGTAACAGTAATAATGAAGGGTAGTAACAAAAACTAGGTAGGGTGAATGGCTAGAGATTTCTTTTAACAGCTGGAGCTCTAAGTACAACCGACAATCCAGAGCCACCATCTAGAACACAGCAGCCTACTGACCCTGACTTTATTTTTAGTAATATCATCATGATCTTTGTTAGTCTGATACTGTCTTACTTAACTTTGCAGCATCCAAGACATCTCATCTGAACTTCTTTTTATTTCCTTCAGGTGTTCTGTTTTGCTTAATTGTTTTAGAATTAAATTAGTACTCCAAATATTTAGGAGAAAAAACTTACCTTGCACATCAGAAGCTGTAAATATTTGCCTTGTTTTATTACTGTGTAACTGTGCGGCCTTCTTTGCACTCATGAGATTTAAAAGCTTTTCAAATAACAGACCTAGAAAAATGTAAAATATAAATAAATCTCCCTGCAAAAAAAAGTTTTATCTTTCTCCTTAAAAATATGAACTAATCTACTCTACTATGTATAATTTTAATTATATAAATAAACATAAAAATAAAACTGAAATAACAGTCTTTAAAGTTAGATCATGATCATGCAAACATTTCAATATTGTTTATATTTTCTTATATATTTTCTATACTGGAGTATAATGCTTCTGTTTACTTCTTTTTTCTTCCTGTTACCTGCCATCTCATGTTTCTTTGCACTGGAGAGAAACATGGACTTTTCTGAGACAATATCACTTGCATGCCATGGATAAAGATCCATGCTGCATAAACAATCTATCTGGCATCATTCCCACCAGTGAGAGAACTCTGAAATAAACCATAACCTCAGATGTAGATTCCTATGAAATGCATAATGAAATTGAATGTAAAACTGCATTGGTTTTTCTTCCTGTATACCATATGAAAGTCTTTACTTGTACATCTATCTTATCCTTTTAATGAACTGAAAATTAAAGAAATTGAAATGCAAACTTAGTTTGTAAGTTCTTAATTGACTATTTCTTCTAAAATCAAAGTAAAACATAAAAATTAAGAAACAAAAATCTGCCCCCAAAACTTCAGGCCTCACCATGAAACATGCAAAAATCTTGATATAAAAATTCTGCAGATACACATTTTTTTTGGGAAAAAAAAAAAAAAATCCCACTTCAGCTGAATATTTAAACACAGACAATTATTAATTTCTCATAGCTTTATAATATATGCTTTCTGCTCATTTTAAAAAATGTAGTTTTCTTTAGAAGGCAACATGATTGTATCCTGCAGGAATTTTTCTTCATCAAAAAACATAACAAAAGCTCTGCAATTCTCTTTCTTTTGATTCATTCATATCTTTTTCTTTCTGCAGTGGTTCAAAAGCACAACTCCTTCAGCTCCACCTGCTGTCTCAGTTCAAATCTTAAACTCCAAGTTTATGGATTTCCAGTCTTCCTTTCATTGTTTCTTCCTGAAAAATCATATACTAACAACTGTTACAGTCCCAGTTTCCAGGATTACAAAGTCTTTCTGCTTTCAACTGCTAGATTCTGAACAAGCCCAAATTCTTTAACAACAGAAGTTACCTAAACATACTGAGCTTTCCTGCCTGAACAGTTTTCCATTCATAGAATCACAGAATGGTTTGAGTTGAAAGGGACCTTAAAGACCATCTAGTTCCACCCCCCTGCCCCGGGCAGGGCCCCCTTCCCCCAGCCCAGGGGGCTCCCAGCCCCGTCCAACCTGGCCTTGAACCCTTCCAGGGAGGGGGCAGCCACAGCTGCTCTGGGCACCCTGGGCCGGCGCCTCACCGCCCTCAATAGTGAAGAATTTCTTCCTTATATCTAATCTAAATCTACCCTCTTCCAGTTTAAAATGGATTATTCAATTGTATAACTATGCAAGTGAAAGCATAAAAAGCAATATAAGGTTTTCATCCATTTATTTCTTCTCTTTCAGAGTAACATACAAACCCAGAAAAATACAGTTCACTATTTTCTTTTTATAGAATGTCTCCTATACTAGAGTGCCACCTATTCATTGATCTTGAGAGTTGGCAATTTATGTGCTAGTAGAACAGGTTGCAAAGCTATCTCAACACAAAAAAGGTCATCTTAAAAAAAAATATTCAAGCTAATTAGGTATTAACAAATCCATAATCTATGTTTTAGTTCACTAATTTGGGTTCAGGCATTCATATGTAGTTGTTCTCTTGAAAAAAAATCTGAGTAAAATCTCTGTTTTGTATCTGTTGTGCTGTGGTTTAATGAACATGGGTTTTGACATCAATGTTAAAATAAACAGAACCAGTCTCCATAATGCCCTTTAAATGTATTGATGCAAACACTTGTGGGGCCATGTGGCAAAAGGGATGAGGGAACTTATTGATAAAAGCAACCGCATTTTTTTGCCACTTCATTATTTTACATGAATCATTTCTTCAATAAGATTTGCCACACAACCTCACAGATGTATGGGCATAATTGATAAGGTCAAGGACAAGAAAAAAACAAGCAGAACTATATAAATAGGAGGATTGGTACAGAAAAAGATATTTATTGAACTGTGGTATAAGACTGCAGTTTTTACCCAACTTAAAAGTGAAACAGTACAAAAAAATTATAGAACCTTTTTCATCACTTACCTACTTGAACACAAATAATTATGAATTACTTTTCTCTATTACTAATATATAAAATATTGATATTAAGAAATGCCACATTGAGAAGCAAGAATAAGCGTAAGCTAAATGTAACATAGAAGCACTAAAATATTACAAAACTTAGCGAAATCATATGATCCTCTAATAGCCATGGTCAGCTCATTTATAGAATCACAGAATCAATTAATAGTATCATTTGGGTTGGAAAAGACATTTAAGATCATCGAGTCCAACTGTAAACCCAACACTGCCAAGCCCACCACCAAAACACGTCCCTAAGCGCCACACCTACAGATCTTTTAAATACCTCCAGGGATGGCGACTCAACCGCTTCCCTGGGCAGCCTGTTCTACTCCTTGACAACCCTTTCTCAGTGAAGAAATTTTTCCTATCACCCAGTCTAAACCTCCCCTGCCACAACCTGAGGCCATTTCCTCTCATCCTATCACTTGTTATTTGGAAAAAGAGACCAACACCCCCCCTGCTACAACCTCCTTGCAGGTAGATGTAGAGAGCGATCAGGTCTCCCCCCAGCCTCCTTGTCCCCAGGCTAAACACCCCCAGTTCCCTCAGCTGCTCCACATGAGACTTGTGCTCTAGACCCTTCACCAGCTTTGTTGCCCTTCTGTGGACGCGCTCCAGCACCTCAGTGTCTTTTTTTTGTAGTGAGGGGCCCAAAACTGAGCACAGTGTTGGAGGTGCAGCCTCACCAGTGCCGAGTACAGGGGGACGATCACGTCCCTAGTCCTGCTGGCCACACTAGTCCTGATATAAGCCAGGATGCTGTTGGCCACCTTGGCACACTGCTGGCTCATATTCAGCCGGCTGTTGACCAACACCCCCAGGTCCTTTTCCACCAGGCAGCTTTCCAGCCACTTTTCCCTAAACCTCTAGCATTGCATGGGGTTGTTATGATGCAAGTGCAGGACCCGGCACAGCCTTGTTGAATGTCATTATCAATTGCATACATTATCATTAATCTACAATGGTTTCTTCAAACCTCTTGAGAATCTAAGCTTCAGATTTTTTGAATTTATGAATGAAAAAGGAGTAGAAATCATGGTCACATAGGTGTTTGCATAGTACCTGAATTTTGTGGTCTCACAGGAGATATTACTGAAACTACCTCCACTTGGAACACAGAAGATACGCCACAGTGGTTTTCTACAGAACTGATAAATCTGAACTCCTGTATGATTTCCATTTGATATCAATAGTATGTGAGTTCATTAAATACTGAGCTCATAATAATACATATTACACAACAGTATCATCTATGGCATTTAAGTAAGAAATATTTTATCCTAATTAAAAGAAAACCACCTCTTTTTCATCTAGTATACTAAGTATATAAGTAGTCCTAATAAAAACCTAATCAATATCCAAATCTTAAACTAAGTATACTTAAACAAACATGCTTAACTTTATACAGATTGAAGTTCAACTACACACAAATGAACTGTAATATTCAAAATTAACTTTTAGAGCATCAGCCCCCAAATATGCTATTTGCTTTAAACAATGAAAGAACTTCCTGTTTCAGTATTCAGATTGGGGACCAACTATTTCCTGAAACCTAGTTTGAACATTTGGTAAATTTGTCTAAAATAAAGAGTGTAATAAAAAAGTAGAGAATAAAAAAAATAGGAAATTTAAAAATCTGTTTGCGTCACCCAGCTTCTACAACTACCCCGAATGCTGCCTCATTTTACGTATTATGTGTCTCCTTTATTGTCTTTCAACAGGATCTTACATCACAATTTTACCTGATAAGAACAAAGGAGTGATACATGTTGATTAGCATTTTACCAATATTTACTAATACTCACTAACATTAGTGTGTTACCAAGATTCATTAATAGTACAAAAGTAAAAAGCTAAGCGACATGATGAAAACAAACAAAAAAAATAATTTACTTTTCAGAACTGGATTAGGAGGTGACTAAGAGATCACTGGAAAAGATCTCTGAACAATATACACAACAGAAAGGGAGTGTATATCCAGGAAAGCACAGAGGTCCACTTTGGGCAATATTTATACTGCCTTTTAGCATGACTGAGTGTGCATGACTCCAAACTTTTGCATCATTGTTATTAGAATACAAGACTGCACATAGTTGTGATGAAAGATCAAAACAAAAAGAAACATTTCACAGGACCAGGCCTTGGGCAGGGATAATAGGCTCAAAGATAGTAGAGCCTTGCAGAATGAAGAGGTAAAAGAGCAGATGGCACCTTGAATTGAGGAACAAGAAAACCTCCCTTTGCCATGTGCTCAGAGATACCATAAAGACTGCCCAAGTTCTGTCCGTTAGATGTATTTAGCTCATTATAATGTGAAAACCACACTTCTTCATGAGAAAAAGCCCCCTACTCAGACAAGAACCCCACCCTCTAAGTTTGCCCAGAATACTAGACACCATAACTTCAAATCCAAACAAAGCACGTTGTTAACCAGTGAAGAGCAAAGTGATAAGAAAGTAACCAGTCATTACATTAAATGTATATTCGTGTAGTTTGAAGTGTATAAATATGCTGCTTGCCTGTTTGTGGTGTGCTAGCTTTGTGGAATTACCACCTAGCCCCCATCTCTGCACAGGTAGGGACTAAACAAGTATCTCGACTGTGTGTATTTCGGCTCATTGCACACCAGGTGAAAGAGCCAGATTTTGAGACAACCGTTGCAGCACTAAGACAACTCACATGAGAGGTGATGACATGTTAGCAGCTTCTAGTGCAACCTAAGTGTACTCCATTCTGAAGAACGAACAAGCTGTGACCAGTTAACCTAAGACTGTATGTTCCATTTGGCCTCCAACACCTTTGACGTAGACTGTCAGGTATACAAATAGACTAGGGAGTCCATTTTAGAAAGCTTTGGTAAGATGTGCCAGAAGAGCAGCTGGAAGTTGTAAGCAGCCCTGAGCTCAGACTGCCCTTGTGTACCCTGGATGTCAGGGTGCCCTGCTATTGGCATCTTGTTCAGCAGCAGATGCCAACCTACCGGTGTCCTGACATGAAGGTACAGAGTTGGGTCAGGGAAAACACTGGACATTTTGGGGGGCCTAGCCTCCCAGGCACAGTGCAGAGTGCTTTTAATTATTTTAATATAACAGTACCAGGAATGAAGCTTCAGCTGGGGAATCAATGTGTTTTCATGTCTACTATTCCTACAGTACCCTTTTCACGTGAAACACTTAACACCTGAATGTGCAGTTAGGTAGCTGAATGGTTGTTGAAATATGAGAGCATTTTAGATCAATTCAAATAATTTCGGGGAAAAGATGATCACTGAACCAAACTTTCAGAGAAAAAAAAGTATAGATTCCACAAACATGATCCCCACAATGTTGCTAGTTCCCAGAAATTATGATTTTTACATGCTAATAAATATATCAAATATACATACAGTATTGGTCCAACAATCAGGTTAATCTCTATTTTCATGTTTTCCCAGTTACTTGTCTCAGAAGGCTTAATTTTAAGTGGAAGTAAGTTCAGAATATCTATTAATAACAACACAAAAATGTTTTATAAAAAAACCCATAGAACTGTTATAATAAATTATTTTGAATAAGCAAGTGGAGGAGGAATGCAATTCAAACACTTAGGTCCCACCTTCTCCAGTAAAGAGATCGTTAATGACATCTAGTGGGTAAAGCTAGTATTACTTTTAATTTAATGAAAACTGCCAAAAAAAAGATGCAGCAACAATTTACTAAACAATTTACTAAAAATGCAGTTGCTTGATTACAGTTGATGATGCTAAGGAATTGCCATTTCTACTGAAAAATTGATGTTAGTAAGTATATGTAGATGAGGAATCAGTTTCACCTTGAGAAGTAACATGCGCACACCATTCCCTACTTCTTGGAAAAGCTCTTGAAAGTACTCTTATTGTCAGGGCTGTTCTTTGTGACTTCCAAATAAATACAAAGGCTGTTACAACAGTGTCTGATTTTAATAATTTTGACAACAAAGCAAAATGCACAATAATATGCTCAAGAACTGTATCCTAACAATCAACTTTTAGGATTGTAACTTCTGTGGTTCCTATCTGGTGCACAAAGAAAGTTGTGTTTCTCAGAACTGAACTAAAAACTATCCAAATGTTGAAAGGAACACTTACAAGTCCTAACTATCAGCAGAAGACATGGCTGTGCCACAAACCATAGTTAATGCACATTAGCAAAAGGCCCAAAGAAAAGTATCTGCCTACCCTGGGATCTTTTAATACTTCACAGTGAGAAGTCACTGGGTAAAGTGCAATAGTTGCTGGAACTGGGCCCATTTAAGGAGCTAGCAAAACCACTAGAGAACAGAATCAGTCCTAGAACAAACGTTTTTAATTAATTTTTGTGCAGCTGCACAGGCAAAATGGTCTACAGCCAGTTGGTCAGAGCACTGCCTAGAGACAGAGCAGGTGTGACTTGGCCCCTTTTCAGGAAGAAATAACTAAACCTGCACTTCCTTTCTTCCCAGGAGTCCTCCACTTCCATTCTCTTTCCAAGAAGGAGCCATCAGTGACTTATGCACAGAACCTGCTCTTGCTTGAATGCCTTAAGCATGTTATAACTACTCCTACTGGAAGAAACATTCAGGGAATGTAAGAAAACAGCTCATTTTTACATTAAGGTGAAAAAAGGATAGGAGAAGATAGATAAGGGGAAGTTGACCATTTTCAGATTCATAATTCAACAGTTAAGACTCGCTTTAGAAGTCTAAATTATTTTTAGACCTGGCCATAGTTCATTGAGAAAATGTTTACTCACAGCTGAAATGTATCAGAGATGATTATTTTCACAGTTCAATAAAACACTTCTGTGTTTTGTTTTGTTTTTTTTAATGATCATAGACAACATTTTCTTTATGACCTTGTTAAGCCTATTTTCCTGAAAACATGCGATTAAGTAAAAAAAAAAACAAACAAACAAACAAACAAACAAAAAAACACCTCAAAAGTGGTCCTCGGGGAAGAAAATTACTCACACCAGAAAAGAAAGATGAATCATAATTTCTATGCTAAATATACTTTACAGTATATTGGTCAAGCTTGTACCAACATGCCTTGAGAAGTACAAACTTACAGACACATGTATTTATTCTGAAATTCAGCATGTGTGTTCCTCATACTTTTTTTGAGATCACTTGCAGTACTAGAGTAGAAACATAACTTCCAGAACTATATTAAGCCACACAATTTATCCTGTATCTTGCCTGTGAGTATGCAACACATGATGTCTTTCAATAAACCTTTCTTTTGTTAAGATTTTTGTACAGCTATAGATTTATATTAGAGAAGTCAAGACTAAAAATGCCCAACTGGTACTTGAAACCAAAAATAGCTGTATTTTTGAGACTACATGTTTATTATTAGGACATGCTGTAGTTTCATATCTACTGAAACCACTGAGTAAAGAAATCAAGCGTACCACTAATACAAAGCAATAATTGACCAATAACAAACCCAGTCACTTATTTCATACATCTTGTACACAGATGAAATACAATGCATCCCTCTGCTCATCACAGTCTGAAGCAGGAAAGGTAGGGGTTTGATTATTTTCTTTTGAAACAAATACCCCCGATAAGAAAATTACTTCAAGAACCTGTGGGTATTTGTTTACCAAACCTACAGTAATCCACTCCAGTTATCGTCTACCAGTCAGTACACAGGGTCTCAATAGTGAGACATCTATATAAGCTGGATCTTCAGAACATAAATGAAAAAAATATATACCTTTGAGGGTTTATAACCAAACAGCATTACTACAGCGACTTTAAAGTCCTCTCTGCTTAAATCATCTTTGTTATCCTCATCACACACTTCAAAAACCTACAGAAAGAAAGTGATTTGCATTAGAAAACAATAAACTTGACCTAATATTTTTTACTTTGAACAACTGTTACGGGAAGAATAAAATTGGCACTTGCTGAATAAACTATGCTATGGAAAAAACCTATTGAAGATTAGTTGCATCTCAGTCAGAACTCTGCTCATCTACTCTGTTACAGTAGCTGAATACTGACTGAATCAATTTAATTTAAGATTTTTGTTAAAGTTTTCCTACTTCTACGTTTCATGTGCTTATTAATGAAAAGGTTTTTTGCAAACATAGAACATATGGTACAGACTTCTGGAAAGCAAATTACACTAAATTTGTTTCTGCAAGATCTTGATTTTTTTCTTGAAAAAATGTTAGGCATCCTTAATTCTCAGTTAGGTCACTGTATAGACAGGAACTGTGAGAAGAGACTGGAATGCAAACACAGTCAGAAGCCATCAAATTTTCTGAAGTACCCTTAGAACACAAATACTGTTTCCACAGTCTATACTTAGACAAGAGATTATGCATGTAACATATAAAACCTTGCAACTTTCCTAAGAGATTTTCCCATAGATATTCAGCAAGGGTTGATAATAAAACATTTAATCTCACAGTACTGAAGAGTATATCCACAGATTGTTTCAGGAAGAACCATTACATGCAACTCTGCAGAAAAGCATTAATAGAATTACATAAACAAGTTAAAATTTCATTAAGGTTTTTCTAGGTGTAGCTTGTTGATTTTATTGCATGCTGATGTAAGACACTTACATTGTTAACTGCAGTCACAAGCTTGTAATAAATCAGAGTAATGAGAACCAAATGCTAAGCCAGTTCATTTTGGTAGATAGAGCAGGCTTTGATGTAGTCCATGCTCTTACTTTGATTAATTTTACACCTGTTTTCCTCCCATTCCCTTCTTGAAGTCGTCACACAGTTATCTCATTAGCAGGGCACTTCAGACACAGTAATTAACACTGAGCTGAATGAACGATTATGCAAATACTGCACCTGCTCTAAACTAATATTAAGGTCAAATAAAGGCTTATTAGATTAATTCGTGCCACTGAAACGTGACTGCTTTGGCAGCTCTGAGATGCCGGAGCCGCTTGAGCGCCCCTCGACGCCCCGAGGAGGCCGCAAACGCCCCCGGAACCCCGCGGGGACGGGCCCGCCGCCCCTCAGGCTCCTCAGCCGCGCCGCCGCGGCAGGGAAGGCTCCCGCCCGGCCGCGGGGACCCACGGGCGCGCAGCTCGGCCGCGGCAGGCCGCGCGCTGCCTAGCAACCCACGGCGCCGCCACCGACGCCCGTGGGGCGGGCGCCGCGCCGGAGCCGATTGGCTCAACTCAGGCGCGCGCCGTTGGCTCGGGGGGGGGCGGGACGGGGCGGGCCGCGGCCTTCTCTTCACCTGCGGCGGCGGCGGGCGCGCTGTCGGAGGCGCCGGCCCGGAGGGGTAAGCCGCTGTCCCCGCCGCGGCGGGGGCTGGTCGTGGGGCGGGAGCGGCCGTTGCGGCCCTTGGCACCGGTGGCCCGCGCGCTGAGCTCGCGCCCCCTCAGCCCGTGGCGGGTACCGGCGGGCGGGGTGGGGGCTGCCGCGCGCCGCCGCTGGTCCCGCCCTGGGCTCTTCTGTTTTCCTCGCGGGGCGGTGTCGGAGCCGGCGGGCCCTTCCACGGGGCACCCACGGGCTTCCCGCTCCCTCGGCTGAGGGGGGACGCGCGGCGGAGGGCCTCGCCGGAAGCGCGGGGGTCGGCGGAGGGAGGCGGTGGGCCCGCAGGGGCGGCCGGAAGGAGCCGTCGCGGCTCGGCTCCGTGCTTCGGTGTCTCCTCAGCAGAGCGCGCCAGAGCCCCTGAGCCTTAGGGTCGGTGTGAGAAATACCTGTATGACGCAAATTCTTTTTTTTTCTGACTTTTGAAACGGTTTCCTGTGAGTGCCGCTATCCTGGCCCTTTTTCCGTGCGCAGATTCCCACGCTAGCGGCTTCCCGGTTGATGGCTGCCCCCCTTGCACGTGTTTCTTTGTTTCCTGGGCACAGAAACAAATAAGCCTTGTACCCTGTGAAATATTCCCGAGCCAGAAGTTGCACGGAGACTTCACTAAAGTTCCCTAGTAATGGAAACTAGGAAGGCAAAGAGACTTGGGCATAGCAAAAATGCACAGTTTTTGTTTCCTGTTGTGTTTTTTAATCTCTAGGAACATGCTTCAGGAAGGTGCACATGGAAAATGGACAGTATCTAGCAGTGATGAAAGTACTGAGGAAAATTCTGACAGCGAAAAACCCTCTACATCTTCACTATTGGATACTGCACGTGGCAGAACAAGTGGGTCACAATATCCATGCTCTGAAGCTAGGAAAGCTGCTCAGAAGAGAAAAGCTTCTCCCCTGAAGTTCAGCGATAAAAGTTTTTCTACAGAGGTACCTCCAGCAGGAAAACAGAGAACTATCCAGGAAGGCCTAGGCTGGTGTCTTTCTAGTAGTGATGAAGAGCCTGAAGATCAGGAAGAGCATGCCCACAAAGAAACACAGAAAGAAGAAAAATGTGATGCACCCAAAGAACATCCTCTGAATTTTTGCAGAGATGATGAACTCTCAGAGAATCACAAAGCAGAGGAGTATGATGAAATACCCAGTGAAGCTCAAGATACCTGGGATTTGTTGAATGGAGGGAACCCTTTCAGGTTTTTTCTCACTAAAGTCAGAGGAATTGAACAGAGCTATAATTCTGGAGCCCTGCACATAAAAGGTGAACAAGTGGCTTCTACAGAAATGGGGTTTTGGGAGACTTTGCAAAAGAATGCTTATTTTTAGTTTGTGGGTGTTTTTAAATGCGTCTGGTCCCTTGTGTAGCTGAGGCTTCATGTTATAAATGTGCCAGTTGTAGGAATTGGTTCTCTTTGCCTTTCTCTTTTGGAAGTATAGTGTATAAAGCATTAGTTTGCTGATACTGATTCTGTTGTAACTACTGAGTTACGCTGCACAAATCTAATGTGCAAATCATATGGTGCTTCTTATTGCTGCTTTTTCTGTGAGTTAATCTGGGGACAACCGCTTGCCTTCATGGCTCTTAAAGAAGTGCTTTGCTTGGGTGTCTAACCATCCTCCCTGAGAAGCTGTTTGCGCTTGTCTTAATACTGCTGAGTGGTTTGGACCTGGTAATTCACTATTGATGCAGTACAAGATAGTACTTCTGAAATTCCATGGCTGGGATTCAAGGGACCATTTCAATTCAGGTAGAGGTAAGTCAAGATGGAATGCCTCCCGTGCACAATATTGATGCTTCAAGAATGCTGTGTAGCTGTAGTTTGCTGTAAGGGGGGAGCAGCAGTGTGCACCTGTAAACATTTCCTCAGTCACAAATGAAATCTCATCCATCGCAAGACAGAATCAGAAACAAGCAATAATAAGAGATTTATGCACAGAAATAAAGTAAAATTAGGAAGGAAAAGAAATGTAGTTCTTTGAAGGAGAACAAATGACTGAAGCCCTATACAATTTGGTTGTAAATTTTCCTCAAACTCCCATGCTCTCTTATGAGCATTGATTATTGATGGCAGACTGGTGCCAGAGACCTCAGTTGCTTTACTGCTATATGTCTCTATCTGCTTTGTGAATTCATTGTGGCTTTTGGCCTGTCCTCTCTTAGGAGTACTTGTCCTGCTAGGTGATTCGTTGAGCTGGCGGAGAGACTGAGTTTTTTGTTTATTTAACCTGCAAAACCAGATTTCTCTAGAGATGGGGCATGAAATATTTTGTCTATCCTAGAAGGTATTTGCAGGATACGTCTTCAAGTTACTGCTGTGCTTCAGTTACTGAGGTTATAAATCCTCAGTCGGATTAGTTTTCCATGTTGCCATGAATGAACTAAGGATACACATATCCTACAGTCAGTCTGCAACAGGTATGTCTTTAAGCATTAACTATGCCCTTGTTGCTTCTACCCTGCCACAGTTCTTCAGGCCCTCCCAGTAGGGATATAGTAGTTTGATGTCCCTTTCTCTATATTAACTTGGTCTTTCTACTAATGAGTTAAAAATTTGTTTCCTCCTTTGAGAGGATTAGTGCTTTTTAGAAGCATAAGACCATAAGGGTTTCACAGGAGAATCAGTAACTTGAATATTCAGAGCAGTAAACTTAAATATGAATGTCTCTGTTACGCCAGGTCTGAGAACAATCTGGCACTTGTGGTAGTTATCAAACTGTTCAAGATATGAAATGTTTAGCTTGGACCTTTTTTACTCAAATATGCTTTAATGTTTTTAATAGATATTTTATCTCCTCTTTTTGGGACTCTCATATCTTCTGCCCAGGTGAGTTTCCTGTTTGCAAAGTTGATTTCACTTGCTTAATTTACTTTATTAACCTTAAACTTCATAATCCGTGTCTGTGCCATGTAGCTGATATTAGCAGGGAAGTGTGTTAAAATACAGAGAGAACACTAAATGTTTTCAACTGTACAACAACTTATTGAAACGTAAAAATCGTCCCATGTTCTGCTTAAAATTCAGACAATGATAAGACTGCTTTCTCTCTCTTGTTTTGGGGGAACATGCAACTGAAAAATGCATATTTATGTGCATGTAGATTATTTGTTTAAAAGAAAAAAGCCTTGCAATCTAGGAATGATGTTTTTGTTATTGCGTAGAAGCTTTTGCTATCATTCATAGTATAAGCACATGACAAAGTGATGGTTCTTGAACCAAAGCTTTTATGTTTTATGTATGTGATCCTTTCTTTCTACATGTTAAATTTTATGAACACTAATACCTGCTTTTGAATAACTTAAATTAATTCCTTAATTGAAACATGAAAGAAGGCACGTGAAATTCAAAAACACAACTGGTTTTAAAACATGGAAGTGGTATCAAGTGATGACTTTAAATAGGAAGCTTTTTTGCCATAGTTCATTGTTCTGACAAACTCTGCTTTTTCTTTTTAATGAGTCTGTCTTCTTTTTCTTATATACAAGTTTAACTACTGTATAGATGTGGGATGGCTTGTAAAGCAGTATCCGCAGGAATTCAGGTATGTCTTATGAAGATGAAATGATACAGTTTCCAAATCACTCTGATGCAAGTTCCTGTTATAGGTGAATGATGAACAGTTGTTTGCAGTTGCAAATTAGTTACCAACTGTGTATGTATAGACTCTTGTTTTTCCTTGTATGCTTATTACACAGTTGTAGTACTCTATTGATTTCTTGCCTCTTTTCAAGACTTAAATGGTCAGAGTTCAGTATGGCTGGTTTCTGATTTTTATTAATTAACACTTAAGAGGTCCCATTGTGGACCACGATGATGTGCAGTAGATGACCTATGACCGATGACTTAGATGGAATAAGAAGCTTTTTGCCGTACAGTTTACTGAGCCAAGAGGAAGGAGGAAATGTAGGAAGGGCACAAAAAAACTATGTGAAAATGATCAGGATGATATGTCATGGATATGATATGATTGGGGTTGCTGGATATTGTCATGAAAGCGGTTGCTTGAAATTCCTTTCTGATAATTGCAGCCTACTGCAGATGAAGTGAGCATACGAAGTACACTTTTCTCTAATTTTTTGCATTTTATTGGAAATGCAGTAGAACAGAATATTAGGAATTGAACATGAAACTTCGGCCAGAATAGACTTAGCTCTCTCGTTTTCCCTCTCATTTTTCCCAGCTTCTCTGTAAGGTAATAATGATTAAACTGTCTTAGAGCCACCCTGTGTATATGAATACTTCAGAGAGCTTTTATTTGTCTGTTTCCAGCCATACAGACAAGAGTTCCTTACAAGATCTTGTATTATTAGTTTCTATTTTGGTGTCTGATTTACTCCATGCTTCTCATATCCTTTTTTTTTCCCACTGAAGTTTCCTACTGTCTTTCTCTTAAAAGTTCTATTGTAGTTACTGCTTTTTTGAGTGAGTTAAGGCATATAGCCAAGGAGAAGGATGGCACTAAAGTCTGTCAGGGCTAGCAGTTATAGCTGCACAATGAAGTAGCTTAGACTGATTACCAATTCACTTGATGTTTTAATAGTAATCTCCTTTTATTTAAGGAAGAAGCCGTTGTTGTTAATTCATGGCGAAAAGAGAGAATCCAAAGCTGAACTCCTTGCTCAAGCACGCCCTTATGAGAACATTAGTTTTTGTCAGGTAATTAACATTTGTATTGTCCTTTGGTTGAAATTAAGCCATCTGTTGCATTCAAAATCTTGTTATGGATGAAGAGAGATATATTACATGGGAAGTCAAGAATTTATTGTTACACCTTAAGGAATCCACTTACTAGAGCCATAGGACTATGGTAACTATGTTCCTGGTCTTCTGTGATTATGGCCGACTGTCACCCACAAAAGGTTTGCATGGAATGGCTGCCCCCAAAAGTGTCATGGGGCTCATGGAAGAGCTGAACACCTTTTCCACTAACGTGTTACATTCGAATTCTTGTAATGGCTGAAAAGGAAGCACTTTTTGTGTAAAGTGCAGAACTTAGTCCTAGTGTCACTGTAATCTTAAATCTTAACGAAGTATTATTATTCATCTAAATATGT